GTTGGGATTCAAACCCTAGTCTTCAAAGTCCTAGTCCAATGCTCAAACCACTACACCATGCTGGCTCTAAGCACACTTGTTAGGAAATAGCTGCAACTGAACTTAGCTGGGGCTACTTCTGAATCAACACTTATATTTATCAGAGGTTGAAATGTAGGTTATAGGAGAAAATACAGCATACCTTGTAAACAGCTCTATTCAAGAAAAATCCAACACTTTCAAAACCTATTTGCTAGGTGTTGAACAGTTCATACTACCAATAAGTTCTTCTCAGTGTTTAATTGAAACCCCATTTCTTATCAGTAAATTCCATTGTTTCAGGTTCTATCCTTTGGAGCAACTAAAAATAATTTGCCTCCAGATATTCACTGCCCCAAAGACTGATTTGTTCTTATTGTTGGGAAATATGAGAAATATTAGTGGATCTCTGAAGCAAGTTAATGAAATTAGATAGCAGAAGCTGAACAAGAACCAGTTTCACATGAAACCAAACAGACAGAGTCTCTAGAAGGAAAAAAGAAATAGGCTTAGGCTTTGTAGAACATAGAAAACTACTTTTACATACAACACTTAATCTTAATCAAGTACATAATGTAATGGAGGAGAGAAAGGAAAAATAAATAAAATGTATGTAGGTTAGAGTGATGCAGAAAGAGAGTAGGAGTAGTAAAACTAGCGAACAGAAGCCACTATTATGCAGTCTAGCAATAAGTGAATATAGGGACCCAAACAATCATAGAGTTGGAAGAGATGCCAAAAGCCATCAAGTCCTACCCCCTGGATTTCAGGAAAAAGCTGATAGATGGCCATCCAGCTTCTGTTTAAAAACTGACAAAGAAGGGGACTACACCACTCTCCAAGGCAAAGTGTTCCACTGTTGAACATCTCTTATTATCAGGAAGTTCTTCCTCATGTTTAGGCAAAATCTCTTTTCCTGCAACATGAATTCATTGCTCCAGGTCCTAGTCTCTGGAGCAGCAGAAAACAAGCATGCTCCATCCTCAGTATGACATCCCTTCAAATATTTAAACATGACTATCATGTCACCTCTTAACCTTTTCTCCTTGAGGCTCCCTAAACTGCTTTTCATATGGCATGGTTTCCAGATCTTTCATCATTTTGGTTGCCCTCCTCTGGATATGCTCCGACTTGTCAACTTCCTACTTGACTTGTGGTAACCAGAACTGGACACAATAGTCTAATAGTGAGGACTGACCAAAGTGGAATAGAGTGGCACTATTACTTCTCTCGATCAAGACACTATACAGTCAGCCTTCGGTATCTGCTGGGATCCAGTCCAGATCCCTCTGCGGATTACAAAATCTGTGGATACTCAAGTCCCATTTTCCTCAATGGTGGCACAGCCACGCAACTGTGCCATCATTGGGGACAATGGGACTTTGCACCCCTGACCACCTGAAGCCCACCTTGCCGCTCTCACCACAGCGAGTGGCAGGAGGCTGCTTCCTCTTCCTCCTGTTCCCCCCACCATTGACAGAACCACTACCTCCTCCTCTTCCTCTTCCTCCACCTCTTCCCATCTGCCACCATTGCCTCACTCCTCCTCTTCTTCCTCTTTTCCCTGCCATCGCCTCCCCTCTCCCTCCTCCTTTCTCCTCTTCCTCCTCTTCCCCTCTCCCTCCTTTTCCTCTATACTGCCCCCTCTTCCTCCCCCTCTTCTTCCTCCTCCCCTTCTTCATTCTCTGCTGCCCCCCCCCCCACCATGGGCTTGCCATCTGCATATGGTCCATGGATACAGAGGGTCTACTGTATTCCTATTAATGCAACATACAATTGCATTGGCTTTCTTGGTTACTACATCACATTTCTAACTCATGTACAGCCTGTGGTTCATTAAGACTTCTAGGTCCCTTTTGCTGTACTGCTGCAAGCCAGGTGACATCCATTCTATATCTGTGCATTTCATACTTACTGCCAAGTGTAGTATCCTACATTTCTCCTTGTTGGAATTCATTTTGTTAGTTTTGGGCCAGCTTTCTAATCTGTTATCAACACTAGATTCATTGTTATAGGACTTGTGTTTCACAGAGAAAACCTAGGGCTGTCACTGTGGCTCATTTGTAGACTCTAGCCCTGAAAGAGGACTACAAGATCCCACCTTACAACTTCAATGGTGATGGCCTTCTCTCTGGAATTAAAAGCCAACATTGCCATTGAAGGAATGTGATCAGGCAGTCATGACACCAAATTTCCAGTTATAAAATCCACTACAACTGGTGGATTTTTTCTTTCTCTGCAATTCCCATAGTCCTGTCAAATTCTGGACCAAGGAATCCTATTCCATGTTAGTTCCATGATCCAAAGTTCTCCAGCTGCCAAAGTGTCTTTTCCTGTCTACTCTGTTCCTGCCTGACAAAATTTCCCCCTGCCTCATGGGTAACCTTGGGCAATTCACACTCCCTCTGCATCAGATGATGGCAATGACAAGCCCTCTCTGAAGAAACTTGCCAAGAAAACCCAATGATAGGTTCATCTTAGGGTTGCCATTAACCCATCTTTTCATCAATGCATCATCTCCATTATCCACTGTTTCATGAAATCCTGCTACTCTGTCCTACTTCTCTTGCAAATCCCTTAGCTATCTTTTATATTCCTTCTCTTTACCTCTCTTTCCCTCATCTAGATTTGCCCCAAAATATCAAACTATCTGAAGGCAGAAGTAAAGATAATCTAGCCCAATCTGTTGATATATATTGTGAGCTCCCTTGAGTCCCTTTTTGGGAGAAAGGCGGCATAGAAAAGAATTTTAAAAATAACAAAATAATAATAAGATGATGATGCTTCTTTGTTTGGAGCTGGTCCTTGAATCTTCTGAAGTCTATGGAAGTGCAGCTGGCTTCATTATCAACAGCTTTGGGGTTTGTACTGCTTGATCCAGGTCCCTATCACATTAAAGAAAGAACACACCCTCCTCCCTCGCCTACAAGCAGCAGTGCATGGAAGCAAGCTGCTTCTCTTGGTCTCCTCTGCCACATGATTGTATACACCGTCTGCCTCCCCATCTGCTCAAATGGCATTAACAAACCTGAGCTCATCCTTGCTTTTTAACTGATTAGAATGTTCCAAAAGTACACAAAATGTCAAGATCATCTTACTCAAGAGCCTGCAATGCTATTTCAAATAATAGGAGGAAAAACATGTCACTCCTAATATCATCATGCTCCCTAGCATTTTATGGACACCAGATTTCTTACCATGTTTTCACTGTGACAACAAGAGCTCTTATACATTTGTCCCATGTATGTACTCTCAGGTTCCCTATTGAGAAGCTCAGACTTCTATTATTTCTTTGCCACCCATTTTTGAACTTCTAATAAAGGGAAAATATCATCAGTACAAAACTACAAGGTGCATACTACAATCTAGAGCTGTGCATAAATAGCTTGTGAACCTTAATTGTCCACACTATTTTTGTACAAAGAAATGTGGAGGAGACCATTTTGATAAAAGCATCTTTCTTTTTACCAGCAGTGTTCCTCATCATACCCCTTCTGACTGCAAATAATGACAGCAAGAACAATATTTCAGAGGAAGGGGGCCACTAGGCATTGGGAGGCCAATTGTTCTTGAGATAAAAAAATTAAGTGGCCCCTCAAAAGTGGTGTGGGCTTCAAAGACTGGGGATCTCAAAAACAGCTTTCTCATTTGTATTTTGCCTACTGCTATTCTACATATTAGAGCCAGTGTGGTGTAGTGGTTTGAGTGCTGGACTATGATTCTGGAGACCAGGGTTCAAAAAACAGCTCAGATGTGTAAACCCACTGGGTAACCTTGGCCAATTAGCACTCCTTCTGCCTCAGATGATGGCAATGACAAGCCCCCTCTGAAGAAACTTGCCAAGAAAATCCCATGATAGGTTTGTCTTAGGGTTGCCATTAGTTAAGAATGACTTGAAGCTACACAACAAACAAACAAACAAACAAACAACAGTCTACATATATTGACAAAATGTGATCTTCTATAAATTCACCTAAGCATATGTATGTGCACAAACACACACTAGAGAGGAGGCGGAGGGATAGTTGGATAAAGATATCTGTCACATAAGAGACCTTGGTAATGTATGTATTGAAGGGTTGTATGGAAATGTTTTCAAAACAAATATTTGAACTCATATGGATCTTTCATGTTGTCACTAGGTTTTTCATTGAACCTACACATGTATGAGTATGTGTCTACTGTTTAAGGTTATCAGAAAGTCACAAAGGACATTAAAGCGGAAAAACTGTGAAGCAAAGTTTAAAGACAGAAAATAGAAATGGAAAGATATTGCAGTGTTCCTGAGGAAATAATAGGTTTTCAAGACTGCTCTCCTTCTTTCTTCCACACAGTGACAGTTGCATTTTGTGGTAATTGCTATGTTTTAGCTGTTGAATGGTATTAAAGGAAAATAGCCTTTAGAAATTGTGTGGCTTTTATTAGGGTAAAGGGTGTGACCAGTAGTTTTCTTCTTTTTAGTATTTTTAATAACACAAATTAAGAGAAACCTTTCTAGTTTCAGTGTACAGCACTATTACATTTTAAAAGTCAATTTCCCTGCTGAAATGGGCTGTTCTTCCATACTTCACACAATTTATTTTGATGAAGAATGCAAGGAGGTAGTTATTCATGACTCATCCAGTGCCTTAGCATGGTGAGTGCTTACCTATGAAGCAAGAGGGTAAGCTAAGAATTAAGGAGCTCTTCAGTGGAAAAGAGTAACATATAAACTTCATCCTTTTACACTGATTTCAGTAGGATGCATTCAGTAATTCTAGTGCAGGCCAGGCTACTGAAATAATGCAGCTATAAGGATGTTTAAAATGCTACCTGCCCTTATGGTTCATTTTGCTATTTCACTTTAGGAATACAGAATGCTATCTTTTATCATTGGTCCATCTAGTTTGTTGTAGTAGTAGTGTGCTTTCAAGTGTTTCCAACTTATGACAACCCTAAAGTGGGGTTTTCTGGGGCTAAGGGGGTGTAACTTGCTCAAGGTCAACCAGTGGGTTTTGAACCCTGATTTCTAGAATCATAGTCTAACACTCAAACCACTACACCACTCTGGATTTTACTCTAGTTAATATTTTCTATCCCATCCTTCTGCAGCCTGGTATCCTTTATCTGTATCAAAACTACAACTCCCACGATTCAACCCTCGTGAATAATATGAGCTTTAATTCAAAGCTATATCTGGAAGATATTGAATCACTGAAGCCTGGTACATTAGTTTGGCTGCAGCTCATTGGGATTATAAACAGAGATCTTCTGTTTGAGGTCCAAATCTAGATATGTCAAGGTTTGAAACTGGGTCCTTTTGCATGCAAAGCATGTGGTACACCTACAAGCTGCAACCCTTCCACATTATACACAATAACCAGAGACGGGCTCACTATGTAGCATACTTACAATTCAATTACCAAATTAGTCATAGAGGCTTTCAGTAAACTCCCAATAGCAGCAAAAAGCATTTCAGTAGTTTCAGTAGTTTCTGTGGATACACTCAAATCAGTTCCCACTGTGTTAGAAATATGTCTGCTTCATTGCACAGAATTAGATTTTAGAGTAAACAATGCCTTAGTTTCAGCAGATACAAATTCTCCTTTTCTGGCCAATATATAAATAGATAAATATGAAATTGAAATTGATAAAGGACACTGTACTGTTGTCTAGTCAATTCTTGTCCTAAGACACAGAATTAAAGGAGAACATTACCTTAATAATAATAATATAATAATAAATTTTATTTATATCCTTGCTGCTTATGTCTTTTTCTGTAACATGAGTTCAACAGAGCAATTATATATACCGGTATATATAATTATTTTCTGTGCATACTCTTTATTTAGTAATATTCTGAAAGGAAAGGGACTACCCAACTAAATGAACAAAACTTCTGGTTCAGTTCAACTATTTTATACTTCAGCACTACTAATGTGCTACAGGCCTTTATCCTTTCTAATGGACAGATTACTTAGTCTGTATCTGGGTCATTTCTGCATATGTTCACTATTAAGTCTGTTCCTTCCCTCTGCAATAAGTTTTTTTAAAAAAACAAAAACAAAACAACAACAAGCAAACAACTGCATGACTATTCATATTTGAAAAATCTCTTAAAAGTGACTACTTGTTGGTTTCAACTAGGTTAAATCCACTGAATGAATGGGATGCTAATTTAAATGCTGACTTACCTTTCAGCTAATGATTCAGTGGGTCTAATCTAGCAATTGGTTTTACATTTATGTGTTTTATTTCCTCTCAAATTATGTGAATAGTGCTGAGGATATTGTGGACAACCAAAAAGACAAACAAGTGGTTCTTGAGCAGATAAACCCAGTAATCTCCCTGGAAGCCAAGATGATCAAATTGAGGCTGTCGTACTTTGGCCACATCATGAGAAGACAAGACTTATTAGAAAAGACAATAATGCTAGGAAAGGTGGAGGGCAGTAGAAAGAGCACATCAAATAGCTAAACTTAATTAGAGAGGTCACAGACATGAAGACTTAAGCAGAGCAGTGTAGGATAGGGGGACTTGGAGATATCTCATCTGCAGGGACATCGTGAGTTAGGGACAACTCAAGGGCAGTTAACAACAACAGTGTGAACCTATCATGGGGTTTTCTGGGCAAGATTTGTGAGCTTACCTTCCTTTGTTGCTGAGAATATATGACTAGCTGAATGCCACCCAATGGATTTCCATGGCCAAGCAGGGATTCAAACGCTGGTGTCCAGAGTTGTAGTTTAACATTCAAACCATTACACCACTATACTACACATATATCTAAATAAACCGCTGTCTGGAAGTCACTCCAAGTGGTGAGTTTCCCCTACAAAGGTAGATTTATGTAGAAGATGAAGAAGAAGAAAGGAAAGAAGCCAAGTTCAAATCTGAAAGGGGAGGAGCACAAAGAATTCCCTGAATAACTATTTTACTTTAGTTTCTATGGCAGTTTCCCACATATAGCTATATGGTTCATTCTGATTAGAGGTCATAATTTTAACTGTTCTGCCTGAACACCAACAACACATATGTTAGAAGCCTTGGAAGGATTGCAGTTATTGCTTCAAGTCAGGGAGTTCATCCAAGTCATCACAACAAAAGTACATGGTAGACTTTATAGGAAATTAATTTTTTGGATGTAACAAAATACTAGTTCCTTTTCTTCTTTTTTCCTTCCATTTTATTATTAAGAAAACCTAATCTATGATCACTCGTGTTAGTTTCTGTATTCCCCTTGAGAAAAATTCAAGAGGAAAAAGGTGTGGGGTTTTTTTTAACAAAAAGGTATAAGCTTCTGTACTTTTTTCTGATAAATTGCTTGTGAGCTTCATGTCATATGCCCTGGTGATATTCTGGGATTCATATCTTCTCCAAAATACTGACCTAGTTGGAATATTTGCTCCACTTCAGAAATAGAAATGTAATAATTCACTTGGAGGTTATTTTAAATCCAATTCAGTGAGGAATATAAGTTCCACTAGGTACCTTCTGGAGCAGCCTAACCTAATATGGTGCCTTCCAGATGTGTCAGACTATTATTCCATCATCTAAGCAGCATCGTCACTTATGAAGGTTGTTTTAGAAGTTTAAGGCCCTATGAACATAGGTCCAAATGATAGCTGTAAACTGATTGCCATCCTAAACACATATTGGGGATAACATATTTCTATATAGTAGCACAAATATTTAATGCCATGATTGCTTACACTTATTTTTCTCTGCATATAGTTCTAGGCACTAACTCTTTAACAAGGGTGGGAGTAACTTCCATTCTTTGGACCTAATTTTGCTCATGCTGGTGGTGACTTTGCCTGTTCTGCTCCCAACTGGAGGAGGAGTGCAAAGTCTCTGAAACCACTGACTCAAGATGGGTGGTGGCTTTCAGCCATGACTAACCAAAACTTTAAAGGGACATAGGGTGATAGTGCCCACTAATGGCACTACCTTTCTGCAGTAGTGGGATTGTGTGCTTCTGTGAGGTAAGACCATATGCTGACAGTAGCATTGCTGCTGGTTGGGTCTCACATGTCAGACAGACTTTTGCTGAGGACCCAGACCAAATGCATCAAACAGCTAGTGAGCAGCAGCAGTAGACTGGCAGAGGATCTCTCAGAGACAATACTAGTAATACCATAGCTAATACTTGTTACTACTATGCAGAGGGAAGCATGGTAAACCTCCATTTGAAGAGCTATCACAGAAACCCTATGATTAGACAATCCAAAGTGAAACAAGAGGTAATGCCAGAAGATGAAATTTCCAGGTTGGATGGTATTCAGCAAGCTACTGGGGTATATGAGGGGACAGCTATGAATAGTGCTTAGCTAATAACACAACTGGATGCAAGCTGAAAAAATGTTCAGCTGCACAACACATATCATAGGAGCATGGAATCTAAGAAGCATGAATCAGGGGGAATTTAGACATAGGAAAACAAGAATGGAATGTATAACCATTTCAACACTTGCAGTTAGAGAGCTAAAGTAGACAGGAATGGGACATTTCAAGTCAGATAAATAGACAATGGACAATGGACAGGAGGCTACTGTTAGGACAGTATATGGAGAAATGGATTTGTTTCCAATTGGAAAGGTGGTTAGGCAAGGCTGCATCCATCTTATCACCCTATCTGTTTTACTTGAATACCAAATATATCATACATAAAGCAGGACTAGACTCAGAGGGAGGAGGCATATAAATCAGAGGAATTAACCTCAACAGTTCAAGATATGCAGATGACAACATGCTGCTAGCAGAAAATAGCAAAGACTTGGAATGATTACTGAAGAAAGTCAAGGGAGGCACTGCAAAGGCAGGTTAACAGTGGAATATTAAGAAAACAAAAATAATAACCACAGGTGATTTACATAACTTTAAAGTAAACAATGAAGACATTGAAGTACTTTGAGATTTTTCATGCCTTGGCTTGGTCATTAATCAGAGTAGGAACTGTAGTCAAGAGGTCAAAGGGAACTGGGACTTCAAGAGGTGGCTATGAAGCAGCTAGACAGGATCCTGAAGTGTGGAGATATGTCATTGTATGGTGGGATTACAATTGTCTATGCCATTGTATTTCTAGTTTCTGTGTGTGGATGTGGAAGCTAGACAGTAAGGAAGACTGATAGGAAGAAAAACAACTCATCTGAGATGTGGTGCTGGAGAAGAATTCTGTTGATATGTGGACTGCTAAAAAGACAAGTGGTTCCCAGAGCAAATCAAGCCTGAACTCTCCCTAGAAGCCATGATGACTAAACTCACACTGCTGTACTTCAGCCATATCAGGAGAAGGCATTATTCATTAGAAAAGAGAAAAGTCTCGAAAAGGCATGCTTGGTGTGATGGAGGGCAGTGGGAAAGGGGACTGTATTGCAGATGGATAGATTTAATCAGGGAAGCAAAAACCCTGGGTCAGCAGGACCTGAGCACACTGTCAATGACAGGATGCTCTAATTCTTAGGTCACTAAAAATCAAAGTTGACAGCAGTTAACAACAGGGATACAGGACCATGGACAGCAACTTGAAAGTTCGCTCTTAAACTGAGCCGATTCATTGCAGCATTTATAAGTCTACTTTAGCATGGAGAAAACTTGGGATTTTTTTTTTCATTCTTGAATACAGAACAACAACAAAAAAGAATCAAGATTCTCATCTTCAGTCATTTCACTGCCTACATTATTTCCAACATGCAAAACCACAGAAAAAAATTAAGAGGCTGTTTATGTTACTTCTCAAGAAGAAGAAAAGAAGAACTTCACACAGTAGAGATACCAACATGTGCCTGAAATTTTTTATACCCCCTTTAATTATAACATTATGCTCTCTTTTATCCTTATTTTACCCCACAGCTTTACATACAGAATATGCAATAATGGGAGACATTTCATGTATAGAAAGTTTTTCCCTTTTCATTTTTTTTAAAAAAAACACATTTCTCTTGTATTACCCTCTCCAAGAATATATCATTGTACATTAAATCGCTTTATTCTTATTTAACAAAAGTGAACAGCTTTTCCTTTTATATAGCATTGTTCAGCTTGCAAATCAAACTTTGGCTGCAAATTCATT